TTTTGTTGGAGAAACCATTGCCACTCTGGCTTCCCGACTGTCCTAGCTGGAAGGGACAGAATTCAACCAGCTCATCTTAATGAAGAGAATGGACATGCCCAGTGTTCTGGCTGCTGGCCAACAGGTAGCTCAGGGTCCAAACCTGTGAACTCTCCCTTGGTGGGGCCATTCATATGAAGGAGATGCGCTGCTTCCCTTCTTTAGATCGCAATTCATGACGCGCCAAAGAGCCCCCGGGGATGCCCCAAGCAGATGGAGGAGTCCACTGGAAGCACAGTTAGCTCATTGAGTGAAATTCATCAGCCAGGCCCCAGGGCTTAGTGACTCATGCCTCTGGCATTCCAAAGTGGGATGAACTTGGTCTAGACCGATGCTCGGTTTTCTTCCACTCTCTGCTTGGGGAATTCCAGTGTGCTCTGGAGAAGGCACAAGCCTATGAGGGTCACCTCAAATGGTCTGTGACCTGCCCCCAATCTCCAGGATTCAGTGAGGATGGATGTGAGAGCTCCTGGCCATACTCGTCAGAGTAGGGTGGGAAGAGATGGGATGGGAGGGTGGGGGAGGTGTCCTCATCACATTCATTAGGCCCCTCATTTGCACCTGGGGTCATAAGCCACAGAGAAAGCATTAACTGATACCTCCTTTTGATCACACTCCACTCTTGGCCACTTTTGAATTTATGGACCCCAGACTGGGGATGTCGAGGGAGGGCCTTAGTGCTCACACTTGGATGTGGAAGAATAAGGGCAAAAAGTCTGCTCCTGCGTTCAAGGCTAAGGTTGGGCAGGCCCAGAGAAGAGGCAGGGAGAGGGCCAGGGTATAGGGCACGCACACCAGCGGGCATCCGTCCCGTGCGCGCGCATGTGCGCGTATGAGAGAGACATGCCGAGTCACACAATGGTGTGCACTGCCGACAGCCAGCTGTGGGGGCCCCCTGCGTGGGATGGGGGTGTTCTCGTAAATGCAGAGTAAGGAGGGATCTTGGAACTTGGCAATCGCCTCATCCTGCTTCCTTCCCAGGGTAGGAATCTGGCTGCACATTCCTGGCAGGAGGTCATCCCATTCCTGCTTGCATGACTCTTGTGACGGGAGCTTGCTGTGAACACTGCCGCTTGCACCGTGGGGCAGACCTAAGTGTTACAGAGTTTCCACAATGGGCTGAAATCTCCTCCCATTACCTTCTTACCCATCTTGGTTCTGGGTTAGAATAAATCACACATCTTCTCCATGGTAACACTGTAGATATTTAGAGAACCCACACGGCTCCCCTCCTCTCTCTCTTCTTGTCCCCATATCTTCATTTCCTCATAGGATATGGTTTCCAGACCTGTCTCTGTCCTGCTGGTCCCTCCTCTGGGTGACCTAGCTAAGAGATGGCCCCAGATCTTGAGGCCAAGAACCCTGCGCTCAGTTCTTGATCTAAAAACAAAGAGTTTAGGGGAAGAATTCTTCCCTCAGTGCATCAGTGCACATTCATGTTTTGGGGTTTTTTTGTTTTTGCTTTTTTTTACCACCATATCACAGCTTTGGCTTATACACAGCTTTTAGTCAACCAATCCCCTTCAGGGATTTTAAAGATATAATCAATGCTTTTCAGTCACTCTCCCTGGCTTTCACTCTATGGCTGATTTTTTTTTTTTTTTCCATGAACCTTGATATAGGACCTTCTATTCATCCCTAATATATTATGGTTTGGGCCTATTATCTCCACTTACTGAGGTTTTTCTGAACCTTGTTCAATAATGTTATAGTCCAGCAATCCCTTCTAGTTTTGTGTCCCCTACAACTTTTATCAGGGCCCACTTTAATCTCCATGTGAACGTCTGCTGTTAGAGAGGCAGAGCTGGGCCCCAGGAACTACGGTTCGAGACCATCTGCTGTGTTCTCGGATTAACCTGCAGTCTTCCCCGGCACCATTAGTCATCGCACTGTGGCCCCACCTAACTGCACGTCCACCAGCCTACATCTCTTCCTCTCATCCACAAACATCTAATAGAGGACATTTCTGTAGCCAAGAGGGACGATTCCATGACTTCAGCTACCGACACAGGCTATTACATGAGGTATTTCGGAGAAACTTCTCAACATCCCACAAATATCCCTATAGGTGGTCTGGGCAGCTCCCCACCCATCAGGCCAGCTCTGACAGTAAGCATGAGCTTTAACCACAAAGTCCTAGATGGAGTGGCAACTCTCAAAGTTTCTCCTCAGACATCCTGAGATGTGGGCCCTTTCATGACCTACATTCAGCTGACACCGAAGGGAAGAGGTTCCAGGGGACCGCTCATCAGTTCAAAGTTTCCTGTGTCTGTGGCTGGACAAGAACACTCCCAGTGTGGCTCATGGCAACCACCCTGACTATACGACAGCAAGAGGGAGGCCTTCTAGGAAGCTGCAAAGCGTGGGAGGCGGTGGGAGTCATCCCACCCTTCAAACCACTCACCCCCACCCCACCCCAGTAGTCCTCGCTGGGTTACCGTAAATTCATTTAGGGTCTAGGCTCCTTGCCTTGGAGTGATTGTCAAGCTTTCCAAAGGCATGCATCTCATCTTCTCAGGTTATGAGGGCCATGTTTTCTTTCCCAGACCACACTGTGTGTACAGCGGACACCCAACAAAGGTCCAGAATAAAGACAGTACTCAGCTTTTATGGTGGACTCTTAGCACTTCCAGAATAAAAATGTACTTCTTACTATATTTGGGGGGGGGGGGTCATTTCTCTGCCTATTCTACCCAATCAAGGGTCTGCTTTTTCTAGGAGCCAGATTCAATAAACACTTTTCTGTTAAAGTGCCATGCCCTTTTCCCAGAATCATTTTTTCTAATGGTGGATGAAGTCTTTTCATTCTCCCATCCCCAAAAACCCACTGACATGGTGGTCAACCTTCTTTTTATTCAAATCATCAATGACTTTCTTATACCTGGAAACCTGGATCTTCACTTGACAATCCAACTGTATTATCCTGAGGTTCTAAGCTGAACAGAGGCCCATTAAAGATGTTACAAATAAGGTCACTTTTCTATTAAGCAGGGCAATGCTGTAAAGGAATGATTTGCTTCTATGTGCTTCTTATCACTGTTTAATTTGATATTTGATTCTGGGAGATTCTTCCCCTATGGGGATGACGATCTGTGGTATGCATTCCTAAGAAGAAAATTTAGGGGTTGGAGACACTGTTCCTATCAGGTACCTAGCACTATTTCTACTGGATACAATGGTGCATTAGATAGGCCCCTACCCCCCAGGAGCTTCCAATCTCATCAGAAAGTGGGTGCTAATGATCCCATATGAGGTCATAAGGAGCAGAGATGGAACGTGTGAGACTGGGCTGGACAACCCCATCCTCCAAATCACAGACTTTACTGTAAAGCGAAGCTGTCATCAATAACTGGAACACTAACGCACATTAGCTCCTTGACAATCTCTTCTACTTCTCCCAGATAAAACAGGAGCATTTGACGAGTGTCAGCTAGAAGCAGTCTGATCCCGCCAGCTGAGAGAAAGCTGGAAATCCTTTTCCCTGCTATAATGCAGGCTTGGACAAGTTCCCAGCATACTCAGTGTGCTCTAGGAACATATGAGAAAAGAGTGGGACAGTGTGAGTCATGAGAGGAAAATGTAAAGACTACAGTCTGGGGAGAACTTCCTCTGGAGCCCAAATAGGGCAATTCAAGTTGCCTTTCTTCAGCACTGGTTCTGAGGTCAGCTGGGGGCTAAAGCACAATGAAGGCCTTTTGGCTTGGCTTCATGGCAGATCTCACAGTGCCTTGGGGGTGACATCCAACGTGTCCTTGAGGAGGCTGCCTACTCCGGCTACCCTAAGCCCCACATATCTTGTATGTAAAGCAGTGCCATAAATGTTTGTTCCTTTCTGTTGTTTGGGTGGGGAACTTATTGAAAATCTGACTCTGAAACGTAGCCATAAATGTAGAAGGGTCACAAGCCCTTTGGGCATTTCCAAATGCTGACTTGGGTCAGGCTGGCAACATGAGAATCATCTGAGAGCACTTTCAAAACTAGTCTGGTCCCCTGGGGGTAATTCTGATTCAGGAGGTCTGGGGCGAGGCCCTAGTATGTGCTTTTAAAAGTGATTCTGATCCCCAGCTAGATTTGGAAACAATGGTCCTTTGATAGCCAGCCTCCGAGATGGCCCCCGATGGTCTCCACCTTCTGCATTCACACCCTTGGGTAATCTCCTCCCACACTGTATATGGTTGGTCTATGTGACCAACAGAATATAGCAGAAATGATGGTCTATTGCTTCCAAGATTGGGTTATGAAAGGCTGTGGCCTCCATGTTTTGCTCCCTTTCTCTCTCGAGTCACTCACTCTGGAGAAGGACGACAGCCATGTCTTAAGGACACTCAGGCAGGCTAGAGAGAGCTTGTGTGCAGAGGACCAGAGGGCTCCAGCTGATGGCCAGGAACTAAAGCTGACCAACAGCCACATGAGTCAGCTTGGGACAGGGCCCCCAGCCCCAGGTGACCTCATGAAAGAACGTGATCATAGTCAACCAGCTAAGTTGCTCCTGGACTCCTGACCCTCAGAAACTAAGTGAGATCATGAAGGCTATTGTTTGAAGCTGCAAAATTTGGGGGGTAATTTGTTACACGGCAATTGATAACTAGTACATTTTTCCAGCCCAAACCGCAAGCTCCTGGGCAGAGCACAGAGGGGCTTTTGTGCCCACCCTCTGTAGCTTCCTTTCACATTACTCCCACATTCACCTTGTAGTCTTGGGCAGTACTGATCTACTTACCCCGTCATGTCTCTATGCCTTCACCCAAGCCATTCTTTGTGTCTGGAATGAATGCCCTTTCCACACTGGTGGTCTCCCCTTCTCCAGAAATCCTCCCCTCAGTCCCCCTGCCCCAAATCAGGTTGACTTGGGTCCCCTCGTTAGCATTCACACACTCTTCCTGGAATCAGTAGGTGAGAACTGAGTTACATGGAAGAAGGAAAATATTCATTGTGGGAGTCATCAAGAACACAGGACTTGCCTCTATGTGGTTGACCAACGAACTGTCGAATTTGAAACCAGGAATCCTTTTGTCACTGCACACCACACCCACGTCTTCGGTGTGCTTGCAGTCGGTGACACCCCAGCCATTGGAGGAGCAGGCCGCGAGGGTGGCCTCCTTGCCGGTGCAGTAGATATTGTCCAACCAGATGGGCCCTGAAGGAAGCAGAGAAGAGAGAGACCAAGCACTGCGTCAAAGTTGGCTTGAGTCTTTGGGGGCGCCAATGTCATCTATAGAGAGAGAATTCTTCTCTAATTTTGGCAGTTATTGTGGTCATCAATTGATTTTTAGTATGTTTGAGAGACTGGATATCATTCTAGGGCATCTGGGTTCCCTTTCCAGAGTAGGCAGCTGATGCGATTTGGGGATGTGCCAGATTGAATGTGATTTGGACAGAAACCAGATTTGAGCCCAGATGTCACGTGGTTAGTAGAACGGGCAGAGATTTTGGATACTAAGCTGGGTTTCATTCTGACAGAGCCACTTAGCTATATGACTTTGGTCCAAGCCCCTCTTTCATGTCAGACACCTCAAGTGCAGGGCTGTGTACAGATTAGAGATAATACAGGGCACGTGCCTGTTTGTGGTTGGCCCATCGTTACTCAAACAAGGTAACAGTGATGACGATGGCAATTTTAGTTAGACTGACCATGCTGCAGGCCAGACTCACCTTCCATCTGCAGCGGAGGCTGAACTCTGACCCCTCAGGGAAAGTGTAAGCTATTTTGCAACCCAGGGTTTGGAGTTTTTAAGGCATTTTTCATATGTATCACCTCCCCTGACCTCCCCACGCCTCAGGGATAGTCATTCCCACTTCCCAGACACACAGCTCTGGCTCAGAGGGCGGCTCATCCTGCAAGGCCACCCCCAGAGCCCAGAGCCTGGTCCATTCAGTGCTCTTCTCTCTTCCTGATGTTTCCCAGCCACTGATTCAGAGATGGCCCTGCTACACTAACCCACAGAGTTGCCCCCTCATGTTCCAGAAGTCAGGTGAGGGCAGGGCTGGGAGACCCTGTGCAATTCTGCTTGCCTCCTGTGTCTCCACCTGATTTGCACTCAGTAGAAAATTCAACATGCAAAGTGCTAGAGGGTTTGTCACAACGAGATGCCACCTCACACCCATTAGAATGGCTACTGTCGAAAGGGCAGAAAATACCAAGTGTTGACAAAGTTGAGAGAACTGGAGCCCTTGTGCACTAATGGTCAGCAGGAATGTAAAATGGTGCAGCCACTATGGAAAACAGTATGGCGGTTCCTCAAGAAATGAAAAGTGGGAGACACAGGCTTCCAGTAATGGAGTGAAGAGGTCACGGGCATAAAAGGTACAGCACAGGGAATATAGTTGATGGTACTGTAATAGCGTTGTGTGGTGACAGATGGTAGCCACGCTCGTGGTGAGCACAGCATAACGTACGGGCTTTTCGAATCACGATGCTTTTCGAATCACACCTGAAACTAATGTAACGTGTGCCAACTATACTTCAATAAATAAATGTTTAAAAAATAAAAATGGGGTTACCACACAATCCAGCAATCCCCACTTCTGGGTATACACCCGGAAGAACGGAAAGCAGGGTGTCAAAGAGATATTTGCACACCCACGTGCATTACAGCATTCTTCACAATAGCCAAAAGTTGGAAGCAACCCAAGTGTCTATTGACAAACTGTGGTATACACATACCCCGAGACTATTACTCAGTCTTAAAAAGGAAGGAAATTCTAACACAGGCTGCAACATGGGTGAAACTTCAGGACATTGTGCTCAGTGAAATAAGCCAGTCACAAAATGACAAAAACTGTATAATTCTGCTTAGATGAGGTACTTGGAGTAGTCAAGTTCATAAAGACAGAAAGTCGAACGGAGGTTATCAGGGGCTGGGAGGGGGAGCATGACAATTGGTTGTATAACAATATGAATGTACTAACACTACTAATAGCACATTGAAAAATGGTGAAGATGGCATAGTTTATGTTATGTGTATTTCACCACCATTAAAAATCAATTTTTTTAAAGTGCTAAAGGGCGGGGCGCCTGGGCAGCTCAGTTAAGCATCTGCCTTCGGCTCAGGTCATGATCCCAGGGTCCTGGGATGGAGCCCCGCATCGGCCTCCCTGCTCGGTGGAGAGCCTGCTTCTCTCCCTCCCTCTGCCCCTCCCCCAGGCTCGTGCTTGCTCTCTTTCTCAAAAAAATAAAGTCTTAAAAAAAAAAAAAATAAAGTGCTAAAGGGCTTTCAAACTTTATCTTTGTAAGTGCCCCTGCAAAATGAAAGGAAACAAAATCAAACGTCTCCTTTTGCTCATGGCTCTAGGCAGGACTTGACAGGATAATGGAGCCAGATAACCGGGGCTCAGACTCTCTGCCTTGGGCCTGGGCACCAAGTAACTTGACCAGCTACTTAACCAAGCCTGTTTCCCATTTCTAAGGTGAAAACAAGGATCCCCAAGAAACAGGTCACCATGGAGATTCGATGAGATAATGTATGTGCCTAGTACATGTTCGAGCCCCTTTCCCTTCCTCCTTCCAACTCATCAGAAAAACATGGAATCCCGCTGTTTCCACGATGCAAGGAAAACGCAGATACAAACACTCCCATTGTAGAGATGAGAAAACCAAGGAGAATCTGAGGTTCTTCGAGGTCAGGGAGGACGTGGGGCTAGTCCCTGACTCCAGGGCCCTGCTGAGATGCGTCTGCTGTGACTGATGGCTGGTCAGGGCTCAAACCAGAGCGCCTCAGACGTACTGTGGGGAACAACAAGCTGAGTGAAAACATCTGGCCTGAGGGTTTCCAACTGGTTTCTCAATTTGGCCTCGCTTCCCAGTCGTCAAGCTCCTCGGAAACATATGGTCCCTAATCGATTGCTGCTTGGACAACAAACCAATGTTTGTCTTACTAAGTACTAGCAACGAAAAAGACCCTCCACATTTGCAGCGGGGCCTCTTCTTTGGAACATTCTGTGGCAAAACTGCTGAAGGGACAGAGATGGTGAAAAGAGGCGGGGCCCTTATTCCATCTGCAATGAGAGAAACCACCCCAGCTAAGGGGAGGGGAAGCAGGACAGCGTGCAGCTGAAGGAACCATGACTCTCTCTGGCCTGCTTTACTCTTTGATAAGGAACATTTGGAAATCAGCTCCCTGGATGCTAAGTGAACTAACTTCCACCAAAGAGCTGTTTTCTTAAGTAGCTTTAGCTCACTGCCAATGATCCTACTCTTGACAGATTCTCACTATTGTTTTTTTAAGGTTTTATTCATTTATTTGAGGGAGAGAGTGAGTGAGAGAGAGAGAGAGAGCACACGAGCAGGGGCAGAGAGAGAAGGAGAAGTAGACTCCCCTGCTGAGCAGGGAGCCTGACGTGGGGTTCGACCCCAGGACCCCGGGATCATGACCTGAGCCGAAGGCAGACGCTTAACCGACTAAGCCACCCAGATGCCCCCTCCCCAGGTATTTTATCGTAGATGGTGGAAGTGTAAATTTCTACATAGCCCAAGATAGCATCACCGGGCACAATATACTAATTTAGCTTCATTTCATGACAATATTCTTCCCTGTATGCGTCCTATCATCTAGAATATTCTGATTGTAAAGCAGCCAGCTTTGGCTCTGCCTGCAGGGATGCACGGTGGGCCGGGCACAGTTCGGTAGACGCCATCTCAGAGCTACTAGGAAAGCGGCACTTGGATTGTAGATGCGGCTCTAACTTTGGACATGAAAAGCCAGCCAATCAGAGGCCAAACCTCATTTCTACTGTCCGTTCATTCACTCTAAGAAATGCTTCTCCTGACGAAAGGAGAAATGTATAAACCAATCCATAAACAATTTGGAAGATAGAGATCACAAATGAAAATCTGAATGCCGGAGTGTTCCCTGAGTGGTCAGGACAACTGTCCAAGTTAGAACCTCTGGGGCCCCACTGTGGTCATCTGCTGGCTTTGTCGCTCTGATCTGAACAATGGGGGGTGAGGGGCAGTGCAGGGGCGCTGGGGAAGGATCAGATCTGAGCTCAGGTCTGAAGACAAGCAAAGGAGAGCAATCATCTCTGGTCAGGTTTCTGTGAGACCCAACCAGAGGGTGAGAAATAGAGCAGCTGTCCCCTCTAGAACCCTCTGAAGGGGTCCATGAGTTCCCTGAGCTCAGAGACACTTTAGGGGAAAAGAACTCTTGACAGTCCAGGCTGGAAAACCCGGGAGGCTCGGGTGCTCTCCTGGGGCTTCATTACTACAGTCTGCGCGTCAGGGGCACAGGTGATACAGTAAGTGCTCGCTGTGGTGTTCCCAGGGCACGCACGGAGCTGACCTGCAGGTTAAACTCCTTCCACGGGCACACAGCCCAGGGCACTGGTCTCTGGTCCCTATGCCAAGGACTGCCTGCCAGGTATTCTCAGTATTCTCCTCAATCAAAATGAATTAATCAGCTAATACTTACGGAGGGCCCAACATGTACCCAGTGCTAAGAATCCTAACCTGAGGGGCGCCTGGGTGGCTCAGATGGTTAAGCATCTGCCTTCAGCTCAGGTCATGATCTCAGGGTCCTGGGATCGAGTCCCGCATCGGGCTCCCTGCTTGGCGGGGAGCCTGCTTCTCCCTCTCCCTCTACTGTTCCCCCTGCTTGTGCTCTCTCGCTCTCTCTGTCAAATAAATAAATAAAATCTTAAAAAAAAAAAAAAAAAAAAAAGAATCCTAACCTGATGCTGAAGAATTCAAATACCTTTGTATTTAAAAGGCCTCTCATGATGCAAAAACCAAGTATCACTTTATATAGACAACATAATCCTCAAAGTCTGGGAGACAATTTTTTTTAGCATTTGTTTCTCCCTTTGTCTTTGATATTTCTCCTTCCCTAAGTCCTGCTGGTTTCAATATCCACCCAGATGACCCTTCAAGGACTCTTTGGCCTCTTGTTACTATAGCTTCTCTCTGCAGCATCTTTCCCTGGCCCTACGTCAGCCACTCTCCCATGATCATAGCTTAGGCCTCGTCATTAACGGCAGTGACACCCCTCCCCAATGTCCATTTCAACCCTTCAGATGCATCTGCATCTCCACCCATCCCCAAAAATGTTTCTAGCATGCTCTTTCTTGTATTGCAATCTCCACCTTGACTGTGACCCCAGCAGCCCTCCACACAAGTCGCCCCCTACGTAGTACCATCCTACTTACCCAACCCAGACTCCAGGGACCATGGTTTCAATTGCTCCCTTGCACACTCCCTCTGCTCCCTTGAACTCTTCTCCCGTCATCCTCCTTGGGTGGCAAAGTCTGAGCCAGGTTAACCCACCTCCCCGGCCACCCCATGCCCACTACTTGTGCAGGTGAACTGGGATGGGAAAAAAACCACACCCATCTAATTTGATGTTAGGTAGACTTTAAGTCTGAGTAGAAATAAAATAAAGTGGTAAATAAAATAAACTGGAAAAACCCCATAGTCATTGGAAAGTATTTGTTATAAAATACCTAGGCTTGGGGCGCCTGGGTGGCTCAGTTGGTTGAGCGACTGCCTTCGGCTCAGGTCATGATCCTGGAGTCCTGGGATCGAGTCCCACATCAGGCTCCCTGCTCGGCGGGGAGTCTGCTTCTCCCTCTGACCCTCCCCCTCTCATGCTCTCTGTCTCTCATTCTCTCTGTCTCAAATAAATAAATAAAATCTTAAAAAAAAAAAAAAATACCTAGGCTTGAGAGCCTGGGATTGAAAACAAACCTGATGGATGTTACCCCTGGATCACTCAGCCAGCAGAATACATGGAGATGTAGAAGTGTGGAGACATGTCCAGAGGTTTCTGTTTTTCATTTTAAAGCAGACTCCGTGCTGGGCATGGAGCTCAACGCAGGGTTTGAACTCAAAACCTGAGATCTAGACTTGAGCTGAGATCAAGAGTCAGATGCTTAACCGATTAAGCCACCCAGGTGTTCTGACATGTCCAAAGTTTTGTAAAGAACACAGGAAGTGGGCTTTAAAAGCCCAGCATTTGCAGGGCGCCTGGCTGGCTCAGTCGGTTGGGCGTCCAACTCTTTATTTTGGCTCAGGTCAAGATCTCGGCGTTGTGGATTGAGCCCCATGTTGGGCTTCGCACTGGGTGTAGAGGCTGCTTGGGATTCTCCCTCTTCCTCTCCCTCTGCCCCTCCCTGCCTCCCCCTCTCAAAAAAAACAAACAACAAACCAAAAAACAAACAAAAAATGGCCCAGCATTTGCTAATTCATCTTTGCTGCTTTAATCTCGTCACTGCTAGGGACCCCCAAGTAGGCTTCAGAGAACATTTTACTCTAAGTGTGGTCTCTTGATCTGGTCACTCCTACAGAGCATATTCAACTGCATGGAGGTAAGATACATATGAGATTGGCTCCCTTTTCCCTATAATTTCTAGAATAACAGAAAGCAAGGGTTAGAAGGGACCATAATAATGATCTATTTCAATGACTCCCAAACCTGGCTACATATACGATCACTTGGGAGGCTTCCAAAAGTTAGAGTCCTAGACTCTAGCCCAGACCTTAAACCCAGAGTATTACAGGTTAGCATTGCTCCCCCACCCCCCACAAGGACTGAGCTCAGGGTTCTGGGCTCCAGCACCTGCCCCCCACTCCATTCAAAGCTTTTACCAAAATACCTTTTTTAAAAAAAAAATATATATTGATTTGAACTCGACAAGGGAAGAAAGAGTAGGCCAACCAAAGTGAAAAACCCAGAGCAACTCTGTGCCTGTGATGGATGAGCCCAGAACAGCGTCTTAGTGTTAACAGTGTGAAGGCTACATGAACAGCACACTGGGGAGAGTCAGGGAACGTTGGCCTATGGGGAGCCTTTGTGCGGAAGAACAAAAGGCACCCCTTCGAGGAGGGGGCGACTGGAAGAAAGGCACCCCATCCCCTGGCTCACGCGGCCCCCAGGCAGGGTGCATGGGGCCCCGTGTAGAGACGGACTTCAGCCCTTAGTGAGGGTCACCAACCGGTGTGCTCGGGCCAGGAGGAGGCATTTCTAGGACGCAAGACTTCCTGTGCTAACACCGGGAAAGCCCCCGGCAAAGCGGGACGGCTGGACCCTGGCCCCCTTCCCGGCACCCGTCTGTTCCCACCTTCCTGCCCAGACCCAGGAGGCTGTCCAGAGGCAGGATTATGGGGACCTGACACTTGACAGCAACTGCAGCTTCCTTTACCAGGACCGCTCCTGCTGGGGTTTCCAATGACACGAGCGCTCGGTTCCAGAGCACAGAGCCTTTACCTTCCCCCTTGCCGTAGGAGGAGCTCGCGGTCCAGGCCTTGGCCTCCACGTATCCCAGCTCCCGGCAGACGACGTGGGCCGCATGGATGGAGAAGTCATCGTCACACACGGTGCCCCACTGGCCATTGTAGTACACCTCCACCCGGCCCTCGCTGTGCTTCCGCTTCTGGCCAGCCAGGCGCAGCTGGATCTTCACCACGTCTGACGGCACCTGGGGCCGGGGGTACTCGGGTGCCGGCTGCTGGAAGTACTCGGGGTCGTGGGGCCAGCCCTCGTACTGAGCCAGGCCCAGTGACGGCAGCAGCGAGAGCAGGGCCAGCCAGCCTCCGAGGCGCCAGCCTCCACGCGTCTCCATCCCCGGCCTCTGGCTGGAGGACCCGAGCGAGGGGGTGCTGGGCAGCGTCCTGGAAGACAGGGAGGGATGCAGGTGACGGGGGGGTCTACAAAACGTCCAGCTTAGTATTTAAAGCTCTTCACCTTCTGGACCCCGACCTCCTCTCTTCTCCCACCTGAGACTCCAGCCGACAGGTGTGTGAATCCCTACCTCTTCTGCCCACCCACCTTTCCCTAGCTCTGAAATGCTTTTTCTCAGTGGGCCTCCTGGCAGGCACAAGGGCACATTCACACTTCATTTGAGCAGAGTTCTTCTTTTTAAGATTTTATTTCTTTATTTGACAGAGAGAGAGAGAGAGTGAGCACAAGCAGGGGGAGCAGCAGAGGGAGAGGGAGAAGCAGGTGTCCCACTGAGCAGGGAGCCCGATGCGGGGCTCGATCCCAGGACCCTGGGATTATGACCTGAGCCGAAGGCAGACGCTTAATGGACTGAGCCCCCCAGGCGCCCCTTGAGCAGAGCTCTTAAAAAGCCCATCCGCAGAGATGTGAGCAGAGTTCAGGGGAACGAAGGAAAGACAGCATGATACCCAGGGCTGGCACCAGAGGAGAGCTGTTCCCGCGCCAGCTTGAGGGGCCGGGAGGAGTGGTGGCCAGTGTCAGAACGGCCAAGCCTGTTTGGAGCTGTGGCTTCAGGGAAGGGTCTTAAGGCCAAACCACAGCCACAGGAGTAGGAGGAAAAAATACCTGACCTCTCTCCCTCTCTCCTGGTCTCCTGCTCTCTTTCCGGTTATCTCCTACTGGGCAAGCCCACCCTGCCGCCCAAAGCCAAGCCTGTATGAGTAGGCCTCCTGGGGCACAGGGGATGGTGGGGAGGGAGGGCATCAGGTGGAAAGGGCAAGCTGAAGGCATCCAGCACATTCTCCATCTTCCTGCCCACCTCTGTACAGCTGGATCCCCAGGGCCCAGGCCCGTTCCCGCCTCCGTCATGCCATATCCCTACGGAAGAGGCCTCCGGGGTTCTCTCCTTCCCAGGTGGGCTCATCATCTAGACATGCTTCTCAACCTTTCCAGACACCTCCATGTCCCCAGGTAGGTTACAAACTTCTCAAGGGCAGGACTTGAAGCTCATTCTTTGGCTGCTCCAGAGTAAACATGACAGGTTCACGGACATGTTTATTGAACGAGAAGGTGATCTGGTTCCAGGGACTGAGCCACTGGGGAGGTATGGAGCTTGAGAGCACTGCATGGAAGGAGTCCCGTGTGCACTCTCTGGGCGTTCCTGTGTGTGGTGTCCTCCTTCCTTTGGGACGTTAACTGACCTGGACAGAAATGGCCTCTTCCGGGTACAGAGAGTACCACAGGAAGAACACCATGTTTGACTAACACGGGCTGCTCTTCTCTCTGCACACTCCTAGGGCTCTGCTCTCAGGCTCCAGGCCTTCAGACACACCCACACCCCTGACCTCATTACACTGTGTACCAGGGACCGCATGACGGGCGAGGCTGCTGAATGCGGAGGTCAGTGGCAAAGTCTCCTTAAAAAGCCCTCATGCAGGGCCTGTCCTTAGCTGAGCTTTGGTTTCTGCAAGCAGCAGCGACAGACGGTCCCGATGCCAGTGACGGCCTGGGGACAGTTCCGTCCCTTTTCACGGCATCTGTCCCTGAGGGGTGCAGGGGGCTGAGACCAGTCTGCTCTTAGCACAGAGGGGAGGCAAACAGGAGAGGGGCTGAGTGGCCTGTCCTCAGGCAAGGGAGGACTGGACAGCAGAGTAGGGGGGGCGCACAGACTCTAGAGCTAGACAGCTTGGGTTTGAATCCTCATTCTGATCCTTACCTTCTGTGCAACCTCAGGCAAATACTTAACTTCTCTGTGCCTCTGTGTTTCCTATCTATAACATGGGGATAATACTATCTAGCTCACAGAAGTGTCATGAAGATTGAATGAATGGCACATGGTAAGGACTACTGGAGCATTTCCTAAGTGAAAAATTTAAAATCTCAAGACTGTGGTCACCATACCCAGGTGGAGACTACCACTAAGAATTCCACAGTGAGGATTATAGCAAGAGATGAGTACTTAGGTCATGTGTCCTGGTCCTTCCATAGTTCAGAGAGAGGGAATACTAGCTCAAAAGGACTGCAGGTGTTTCCCAGGAGAGGAAGCAGTCTTGGGATGTGGGGCCCCAGAAGCAAAACCGGGACCAGCAGGTGGAAGCTAAAAGTAAAATACTTTCTATTTTAACCATGTACAAAGGGTTAGGCTAATCATATTCAGTACATGGCCCCTCACCATTGAGGAAGGACCAGATAATGGCCCAGAACTGTCAGGACGGCCAGGCAGTGCCCAGTCCCCCGTAGTGGGCTCGGGGCAAAGATGCCAGTGCTTGGGGGTCGGTCAGGCCCGAGGACTGTGGAAGGCCCCCCAGTTTCACTGGAGATCCACCCATCGTCATCCTGTGACTCACGAGCAAGGTCGGAAAGTCATGGGGGCTCCTGCAATAGCCCCTTTCAGGCACAGCCTGGCAAATGAGCAGTGTGGCTCTGAAGGGAGGCCTCGTCGCCTCCCCTGGTCACACTCCATTCCCATCAGAGCACGTTTGCCCCCCCGCAGGCTTGATCAACCATGCCTCACTAAAACCTCGAGGCCTGCTGGGGAGAAGGCAGGGATCATGATTCTTCTACAAGGGAGAAACTCAAGAACCAGAAACGATTAAGGACTTCCCTGGAGTTGCACATCAGTGCAGGCAAAGCCAGAACTAGAAATCCCAAGCTGCCACAGCATCAACAATCCACCAGCACATAATAGGAAAGGCCCAAAGTCTGCCTGGGGCATAGAAGCCTCTAGAGGTTGGCCCATACCTACATGCTTGGCTTCAGTTCCAACGACCCTTCTCTCCCCGCTCTCACTCCAGATCTTCACATGTCACCTGTCCAATCATATCAGCTTCTACTCGGCGGAAGCTTTACACCTAGATCAATGTGCCCCTAACCCTCCCTCTCCCCTTCCCTCCAAATAGTATATGTCACAAGCCCTCCCATTCTTCAAGAAAACCTTCCCAGATGCTCCTGTAGGGGCTAAAGGTGGGCCACTCTAGCATGAAGATTATTTTGAGTTAAAAGCAATCAAAACCCAGCAGATTCAGGAAAAGCTCTTCACCTCCCCCTCAATTGCCTAAAAAGAATTTAGATAGAGGACCTGCTCCAGGAAGAGAGCTGTCACCACAGAAAACTACATTATGATATGAACTGAGTGTGGTAGACAGGGAGGAACCTAGCAAGGCCTGTTTGATCCAAGTCCTGTGGTCCCACTGTTTCTGAGGGGCCTGAGTGGCCCCCCTCCCCAACATTTGTTTATCAAACATTTATTTTTTCATCTTCCTGTGAATTGCATTCCTTCCTCTGAAGTCCCGGACACCTACCTCCTTTCTTTAGTTGAGGAAGACGTATGTACCTCATTTTGCCTGACTGTCTTTGGAGTTTCCATGTCTGGGTAGATTCCCTGTATGTATGAAATTAAATCTGATTTTTCTCCTGTTAATCTGTCTTATGTCAATATGACTCTTAGCCCAGCTAGAAGGGCCTTGGAGGGCAGAGGAAATTCTTCCTCTAATCAGAATGAATGTCTTCTCTGATTTCCTTTAAAATAGCATTTTGGTGCTCACTTCGACAGCACATATACTAAAATAGCATTTTGTTTGTGCTTTACACAATTAACCTTCCCAGGGCTAGTTAACTCCTTGAGATCTTTATCATCTCAACTCACAAGTGTAGTTTTCATATGCAAACCAACCAATCCAGAGCCCTGTCCTCTCAATTACCTCCTTACCAAAAATCTCATACTTTGGATCACTATCTCTCTGCCCTAATCACCCCAAGGCCAGGTACCAGACAACTTGAGACAGCCCCTCAGCCCGAGTGAGCTGAAATCATTTGACCAGCCAATCCTAAACCTGCTTAGCCTGCTTCTTAGGCCTCACCCATTCCTTCCTGTGACAGTCACAAGAAAGGCTCTTGCCCACAGTTTCCCCTCACTCCCTCTGCCTGTGACCAACCCTGGTGCTTCCCGGTGTGGCCCCTTATTGTGTGCCTAGCCTCCCATTTCTAGGAATCAGTGAGTATAAACTTCTTCCTTCATAATGGTTTATTTTTTAAGCGGCCATTTTTAAAAAGAAATCTTACTCTCTGCATGTGCCTATCTCCACACTGTTGCACCCGTCTTCTTGGATTCTCCAACCTGTGGGAATGGCCAGTGTTCACCTCCTAAATCTTTCCTAGAAAAGTGCTCCTGAATTTTTTGTTTCTTTTGTGGAGACTTCTGCTTCCTACTCTGGGGGATTGTAAAGTTTTAGACCCAGATGCTCCTCTCTTCTTTCAAAATTAACTTTTATGCTTTTTTCTTCTGGAAAAGTTACGCAAACTAGTGATAAAAACCTGGATAATGCAAACAAGTAAAAGGAAGAAAATAATTCGCAATATCACTGATGGAGGGAACCATTACCAACACTGTGCTATGTATCCCTCCAGACTTTTTTTTGTACATATGTATAAACTTTAAAACACTGGAATAATTTTCTACATACTTGCTGTGTAAACTGCATTTCACAATTACCAGTATATTGCAAATATTATGCCACTTTGACTTTTCTTTACAAGATTTTTATCAATATACCATAAAATTGGATAATCTTGTCACAAAATTTTTGACTGCTATAAACATTGTGGAAATGAATATCCTTGTAGCTAAAACTCTGCACAGTCTTGGGATAAATTCCAAAAAGTGAAATTGCTGGGTCAAAGAGTGGCAAAAAGTCAACACTTTTGCAAAACTGTATTAACTGCCCTCCAGAAACACTGTCAACTTGTGCATCAGCCAGCAGTATGTAGATTTCCCCACAAATTCAAAATTCTAGCCATGACCAGGTTTTCAAACCTTTCTCCATCTGATAAGCGGAAAAGGGTATTTTTGTTTTAACCAGCATTTCTTTTGTTATTAGTGAGGTTGAGTGCCCCCGGCCCCCATTCTTATTGGCCACCTGCATTTCCTTTCTTCCTTCCTTCCTCTTTCTCTTTCCTTCTTCCTTTCTCTCTCTCTCTTCCTTCCCTCCTTTTTTCTTTCTCTCTCCCTCCCTCCCTTTCTTTTCTTTCTCTCTCACCTCCCTCCTTCCCCCCCCCTTTTCTTTTTGAAATTCTCTCTTCATGCTTTTTATCCCCTTTTCCACTGAATGTTCGTCTTTCCCTTGTGGCTTTGTAAAATCCATTTTTCTCATTGGCATCCAGACGACCCTCAGGAGGGAAAAAACTGTCAGGTGAAAACCAACGTCCAAAGCAAAGCCTGGGTGGGCACAGAGCAACATGCCCTGGGTCTCTCCTCACGCTGCCCCTCTTCGAGCCTGGAGGCCTGGCCTGCCGCTCCCAAGCGCCCTGCACCTGAGCTTGGGTTCAGCCCTTCCTCGGCCTCAGAGACCCCAGCTGCCTGGAGCGAGGCGGCCCACGGGGGATCCGTCCAGGGTGGTCCCCGTTTCTGGCCACCGCCGGCAGCCCGCGGCGCCCCGCGCCCCTGATGCCGCGGGGGGAACGGAGCCGCGCGCCGGGAGGCCCAGGTCCGAGCTGCGGAGGGCGGGCCCGGGCCTGCGGGCTCGGGGCGCTCCTTCCCCGGGGCGGGCGCGGCTCTCGGTCGGGCCGCCCTCCCAGCCCACTAGGGGCCCGGGCCGCCCAAGTCTTCCGGGGCCGGCAGCGGCCGCCCTCGGCCCGGCGTGGGCGCACACGTGAGCCCGCGGGGGCGCGGGGCGCGGCACTAGGGTGACCAGGGTCCCCGGAGGGCGGGGGGGGGGCGGACGCGCGCTGACCCGGGTGCCTGGACTCCCCGGGCCCGCGGCGGCCGCGCTGGAGCCAAACGGGGGCGGCGGGGGGCGGGGCGCTGCCTCCGGGGCCTCTCCGGGAACCAGGGCCAGGTGAGGACAGGGTGGGCTGGGCCAAGTTCCGTGGGAGCGGGTGTCTCCTCTCTGCTCGCATTGCCCACGTGTGTGTCTGGGGGGCGCCGCTGGTGATCTGGCACTGGACACGACCCCCAGGCTTAGCCCGGTGCCTGGCGCATGTTAGATCCTTGTTTTAGAAGATTTGGGTAATGGCAGGGTGCAGCTGGCTCAGAGTAGACCCATCCTCATTCCTGGAAGAGGGGAGGGGGAGGGCAGAGACCAGGCCGACCGCAGGCCTTCCAGATGGTGGGTCAGAGTCACAGTTTTACTTATTAACAACAGACCTCACGAAGGAGCTGGAACAGAGCACCAGGCGGAAGTTCTGAGATTATAGTTACGTTGGCACAGCTCTCTTACCCCTAGAAAACCATTTCCCCTTCTTGAGTGTTTTTCTCTGTAAAATAGATATATCGTTCTGACCTGTGATAAAAATGTATTCAGCCAATGAAAACAGTGGCAAAAGCAGAGCAAAAACTTGATCACCTTATCCTTACTTTTCCCTGGGAGGTGAGAGCTCCATCGTTGCCCAAGCTGTCTTCCCCAAACCCAGCTCTCTCATACAAAGCCATTACTTTCGTGTTTTCTGGTGCCCTGTGTGAATTCCCAGTTGTGGAATTCAGAGGACAGGGGTGACAGCAGTCAAACCTCAGAAAGACTCCCTCTACTTTCTGCCATTGATGTAGATAATGTCTCATATTGCATACATACTTGTTCCAGAAAGGATCATTAGAGCAGGTGAAAAATGTCATTTTTTAATTGAACAATTGCAGGGTTTGGGACTGAATTTTGGTAGCGCCTGCAGTATAGCTCCCTTCTGTGGATTCTTCCTCTCCGAGGAGGTGACAAATAAGAATTCAGGTGCAGAAAACACGCCCTCGCTTCTTTTCCTGCAAGAAAGGAGGAACAGCCTATACGGCCTCCCGGTTCCTGTGCTCCATCTCCTTACTCAGCTCCTTTTAGTTCAGAGACTCTTTATCACTTGTGCTATGTAAACGAAAAGTAGTATTACACTTAATGAGTATTTAACTGAGCACCTATTATGTACCCAGTGTGCAGGAGCTGCGGTGGGAGAGACAGAAGAAATGGGAGGTGCTCCCATTCTTGTGGGGTGGGTCCTATCTCCCCATCTAGAATTCTGTCCTCTTTTTCCTCCCATTGTCTCTTGGGCGGGTCCTATCTCTCTGGAATGGGAGAACCATAGAAGAGAATTTACTCAAGTTTTAAATAGGTGGGCCCAGATGATGGGAGTGTTAAGAGTTATGGGTATAAGAGGTCCGTGTGAGATAGAACAAAATCAGAGGTTTTTTGTTTTTGTTTTTAAAGATTTTATTTATTTATTTGAGACAGAGAGAATGAGAGACAGAGAGCAGGAGAGGGAGGAGGGTCAGAGGGAGAAGCAGACTCCCTGCTGAGCAGGGAGCCCGACGTGGGACTCGATCCCGGGACTCCAGGATCATGACCTGAGCCGAAGGCAGTCGCTTAACCAACTGAGCCACCCAGGCACCCAAATCAGAGGTTTTTTGCCAGAAAGGACGAGGCAGGGCCATTTGAAAGGGGAAGGCCATGTCCAGGCCACTTAGCTAAGGGAGCAAGAGCAGGGAATAATTTGTAGCTCCGGCTTCCCTAATCCAGGACTCCTGCCGCTTGAGTACCAAGGTCAGGAGAGGCTCTGGGAGGAGGACGGCCTTGAGCAGGGCTTGGAAGAAGAATTAGGAAAAGAAAACATGGAGTAGGCTGGACTGGAGCAAACTAGTGTGGAAAGCAATGGGTGTGGAAATCAGCCATCCGTGCAGGGACAGAAGGAGGTGGCATTTGGAAGACAGTGTTTACAAGGTGCTGGATAAGAAGGATGGAATGGGCAGACCTTCCGAGCCGGAGGGGAATTCAGAGCCAGTCCATCAAGTCAGCCAGTCCATCTCATTTCACTTCATAGATAAAAGAAATGAGGACCAAGGGTTTACTGGATTGCCCCATGGTCAATCATTAGTAACTGGCAGAGCCTTTCTTGACCCTGGGTATCTTGGCTTCCAATTCTACCTCCTATACTGGGATGCCTTTGTCTGTCCCTGTCTGTCCCCATTTTGTTTCTTGTAAGTACCTGGCTGAGGTCAGCTTGCACAGGACCTGGAACCATCCTGCTGGACCCCAAGATGCAGCCAGGGACCATGACAAGAGCTCGGGCTCTCAGTCTCTTCTGCAGTCTGAGTGCCTGCCACCCCCAGCCTCCAATCCCTCATCTGTGCCAGGAAGAGGGTGTGCTAGCACAGGGAAGGGAAGCATAGGTCGACTTGCATGTCACATTCACCCAGCTAGTGGGGCTATCTAGGGAGCTGAGTGGCATCAAGGCCTAAGAGGCTAGAGGGCTGGCATGGGTTTGTGAGGACTGCCACAGACAGGGGCACGAGGGTGGCAGCATGCCTGCTGGGCATTTGCTGTCCTAGGCACGGGACAAATGATCCTAAGAACTTTCTCAGATTTTATGAATCCGCTGAGGTCCTAAACGTCCTAGGTGAGACTATTGTTATGGGTTGAACTGTGTTCCCTGCCTTGCTCTGGTCAGTCTTTCTAGGGGCTGATGCTTCCCTCTCTGAGCCCTGGTCCTGATTCTGCTGCTAGACCTCAGTAATGCTTCCTCCCTGGATCTCTGCTATGATGCTCTGCTGCTGAGCCCACCCCAGACACATGCTCCACCACCCCTCTGTGTGCGCATCTACTCTGTTCCACGGCCTCTCTATCTACATCCGCTGGTCGGATCAGATGGCCATCTGATACTTGATATGCCTCTCCATGGTAGTTTTAAAACAAGCTCTCTTCTATGATCATAGGTCAAAGCACTATTGAAGTCAAGTGGATGGGAGGGGGCCTCTGGCTCCCTCATCTTGCAATGTGTGGGTCCTCTTGCCTCTCGGCAACCCCTCCTCTGGTATCTATTGGCATCACTGGTTCCCTGGAGAGGTCTGTTGGGCATCTTGGAATCAGAACACAAATGTCTGAATCCTGCCTTCAAGCTCTATGGATTTGGGGACAATTTACCTTTTTTTTTTTTTTTTAAGATTTTATTTATTTATTTGATGAGAGAGACACAGTGAGAGAGGAACACAAGCAGGGGGAGTGGGAGAGGGAGAAGCAGGCTTCCCGCTGAGCAGGGAGCCCAATGCAGGACTCAGTCCCAGGACCCTGGGATCATGACCTGAGCCGAAGGCAGAAGACACTTAACGACTGAGCCACCCAGGTGCCCCAACAAATTACTTTTAGAGCCTGAATTTCCTCTTTGGATTATGGAAATAACCTTCCGTGTGCGTGTGTGTGTGTGTATTAAATAAAATAATGTAAAAATTCCTAGCACACAGCATAGCCTCATTCACATTAGTTTTCTTCTTTCCTTCCTGCCAACTCAGAACCCCCGATGTGGGTACTCAGTAAATATTTATTGAGTGAGTAAGTAAAATTCCTATTCACATCTTCACACCCTACCCAAATTGCCTTTTTCTTCTGATCAATTGCATTGGAAAGCAAGGTGATAAATTCTTCCCTTATGAAATTATTGTGTTTAGGGATGTAACACCTTAAAGAATAAGTTAATTACTCTCCTAAGGACAGGGCACTTTTACACTGTAAGAGGAACTCCTAGATATGAATTCCAATCGTCGAGTTTTACATATTGTACAATGTTAGAAGCAAGAGCAACAGGGTTTTTCCTGAGTGGGTGGACCTTCCCCATGCCCTTCAGATCAGCTGCCATAGGTGCCTGCTTACCTCTGAAATTCACTGTGTGGTGAAGGTGGGAGGCAGGCGTTGGGATGATTTATGGAAGATGAAGATCCCCTGGAATCCTAAAATCTCACCCGACCAGATCATCAGTGCTGGTATCTAGACGAGAGTCATGGGCTGTAAGGTGGGATCTGGGAGAGACAGAGTAAGGCACAATTCCGACTCATCACAGCTGATTTCCTCGGAAATGTGCAGACACACCTGTTAGCCCTCAAAGGATGAGCCCCTAACCACCTGCTGGACTTGACAGCCTAAGGGCCGGTGAAGGTCTGAGGCAGTGAGCCATGCTGACACTTAGAGGGGAGAAGAGTTGTGTCTGCAGGGTCCACATGGCAGTCCCACAGGGAGTGGTGACTCCTCAAGACCCACCTCCTCGAAGCAGCCAGCTCCAGCTACTTCTGCCTTCCCGGCTGACCTCCAACACCTTTAGCTGCGCTCCGGAAGCTAGAGGGGGCTGGGCATCATCTCGTGCTTTGAGCATGCCCGGTAGGCCAAGCATATTCCATTCCCTCTCTAGGCCATTTCCAAATAGATGCCAGTCTCAGGAAGGAAGGCAGAACGAAAGCTTACGGGGCAGCTCAACAGGCTCCATCTTTCAGCAGAACATTCTATTAGAAGGTGCCGAGAGGTAGATGTGCTTCGCCTCTGGGGGTCTGGTCATTTTGCTGTGCAAAGATTGTGGTGAGTAATTCCACACTTGTCCCCCCACCCAGGGACATACAAAATTTTCTTACTCTCTGCCTGTTTTATGTATTCATTTGCCCTCATCCCCACCTTCTTCTAAAAGTATGATCTCTGCTTTTATACAGAAACCTGGACACTACATGGGCTGGTGTTGAAGGTGGGATTCTGTTACAGAAAAAGCTGGATTTTTTAAAAAAATAAACAACTCTTGTTTTTATTGATCACTCATTCTGTTTCAATTACCATGTGAAAAGTGCCTTACAGGTATAGACCAATTTAATTCTCTAGACCAGTGCTTCCCAATAGAAACATAATGCGAGCCACATATATGATTTAAATTTTTCTGGTAGCCACATTAAAAAAGTAAAATGAGGGCCACCTGGTTGGCTCAGTGGGTTAAGTGTCTGTCTTCAGCTCAGGTCATGATCCTGGAGTCCCGGGATTGAGCCCTATATCGGGCTCCCTGCTCAACAGAGAGCCTGCTTCTCCCCCTGCCCCTGACCCCACTCGTACTCTCTCACTCTCTCTCTCAAATAAATACATAATATCTTAAAAAAAAGTAAAATGAAATAGGTGAAATTAATGTTAATGATATATTCTATTTAACCCAAATACATCACAAATATCAATCCAGTATGTATTCAATATAAAATTATTAATGAGATACTTCACATTCTTTTCTTGTACTAAGTCTTTGAAATCTGGTGAGTACATTCACAGCACACCTCAATTCGGTCGAGCACATTTGAGGTGCTCGGCAGCCCCACAATATCCCACTTGTGCCTACTGGATGGCACAGCTCCAGGAAACCCTCCGAGAGAGTGTTACCAGCATCCCTACTGCCCCCAGGAAAAACGGAGGGACAGAAAGGCTACGTGGTTTTCCTAAGGTCACATAGCTAAAAGGTGATCAAGGTGGGATTTGCATCCAGGCAGCCAGATACCAGAGCTGATATGTTTATTCACTAATCGTTCTTATCCCTGTGGCTGAGACAAGCGTACTTTGGTATCCCCGTCCTTGCCCAGGGACCAATTTGCTTGAGAAGACTGCTTTGGGTTAAAGCATTTGAGCTTCACTAATAAATGTACCAGGCTCCAAATGATAACAAACAAAAGCAAAGGAAAGCCTGAATTTATAATTTCAATAAAACAAACAGAAGAGCACTGGGTCTCTTACCTAATCATAAACAAATATGGTAAATTTTCCCTTTACCTTTCTGGACTTTTTTTTTTTTAAAGATTTTATTTATTTATTTGACAGAGAAAGAGAGAGCACAAGCAGGGGGAGGGCAGGCAGAGGGAGAGGGAGAAGCAGACTCACCACTGAGCAGGGAGCCTGATGCGGGGCTCGATCCCAGGACCCTGGGATCGTGACCTGAGCCGAAGGCAGATGCTTAGCCGACTGAGCCATCAGGTGCCCCTACCTTTCTGGACATTTGATGACATTTGGATTGATGGAAGACACTTTCCTCCTCCTCACACCTGCTCTATCAGTCCTGGTCAGAAATTTTATTCTGCTAAAGACATTAAAAAAAAAAAATGGTGGAGACATCTGACCAAATGTGGTATCTGCTACCACAGCTGGGGGAGTTTTTGGCAACAAAGAAGATCTATTTTCAGCATTCACCTTTGAAGACCTCCCAGGTCCCAATAAGGGTCCATGCCAGTGAGGAAGCATCACCACCCAACAGGGATATTCCAGGAGCATCCTTACCCAGAACACAGGCCAGCTGGGTCAGCGGAACATTTCTGCAGCTTCGCACACATACCAAAAAGCGAGCTCAACAGGGTTTCAGCAACCCTCTCCAGGCAAGCTGAGGAAAGTTCACAAGGGGGAAGCTCACCTTGGAGAGTATTCTGTTAAAACCTCATCTGACTGAAGTCTAGGAACTACCGTAGCAGATGGTCTTAATTATTCACACAGTTTAGCTCGGGAGTGGGCCATCATCAGAGGGTTCAAGGCAAGATGCCCATGGACTGCAGTATGTGATTAACATGAATGAGAGCCAGTGTGTGTCAGAAAAAAGTTGGCTATGGCTGTGGCTTATCAGAAAGTGGTAAATTACCTCTCCTAATGTTTTCTCACTTGGCTCTCGGCTAAGCAGTTGAGGACATTCTTACTTTAATTCAATCCGCTGGAGGATACAACTTTCACACGATGGATACTAATATAAGCTTGGCTAACAAGAGGCTCTATGCCCCCAGGGGGTATCTGGGAGAGATAGGGAAAGAATTCCTTCACATCACTGGGATTGAACGTACCAGGCATTCCTGACAAACATCAGCCAGACTCAGCTCACCTTCCTCAGGGGCCTTGAGCACTCCCTGCCCACAGTGGCCCACTCAGCCTGCACGTTCTTCCCCCATGAAGAACGGGTTGGATGCACTCCCACCTCTCTGTTGTCAGTAAGCAGCATGGAGTAATAGGTTAGAGGCATGCAAAATAGGCTTCAAATCTCATTTCCACTTCCCAGCTCTGTGACCTCAGGCACACTGAGATTTTCTAAGTCTCTGTATTTCATCTGTAAAACCGAAGCGATATGTACCTAAAAGCAACTTTTTTGAGGGAAAACAAGAAACATCTACTTTTCAGGATTGTTATAAAGATCAAAGATCGTATTTCTTAAGTTCCTGATCCACAGTAGGTGGTCAAAAATACCAGGTAAAGTGTTTGGGTTCAAACAGGTGCAGCCTGCTAGATTCGGGTCAGGCGATTTAAATGCCAACTGCAAGTTGCTAAACTGCATTATGGAAATGGTTGTATTGAATTTTGATCTTCAGATTTTGGGAAACTGGTAACTCCCAGGGATGAGCTTAGGTAGTTCCTCCTGGATCCACCTCTTGGAACAACGCAGTTTAAAACTAGAAATATACATTTGCTCCAAAGAATATGATATGGGAGAAAAGCTTAATTACCTAAATCAATACGTGTCTTCACATGTGCTGTATAAGCTAGGGAGGTGCTACCTTGTGTGAAGTTCAATGGGAAGGTGGGCTCTAGGGAGTCTGCAGTGTCTGCAAATAAGACTTTTATTTATTTATTTATTTTTAAAGATTTTATTTATTTGACAGAGAGAGACAGCCAGAGAGGGAACACAAGCAGGGGGAGTGGGAGAGGGAGAAGCAGGCTTCCGGCGGAGCAGGGAGCCCGACGCGGGGCTTGATCCCAGGACCCCGGGATCATGACCTGAGCCAAAGGCAGACGCTTAACGACTGAGCCACCCAGGCGCCCCTGCAAATAAGACTTTTAAGTGGGGTCTAAGTCATCCAATGCTTCTTGATCTTGCTGGGGCCGGGGACATTGGTCAGAGAGAGAAAAAGAGTTTGTAAACCTGGATCTTGTTCAAGGTTCTCATCTGATCAGAGCTTCTTCAATGGTCTGATAAACATCCTTCTTTGAGGACATCTTTAGCTTCAAAGCATATGTCACCTGAGGAACTTTCCAGTACATTCTAGAAACACTGATTTCTAGGATTCCAAGAGTGGCATTGTTCTCGTAATGGATAAATATTTGAAAATCTTTTACTTAACTTTAACCAAGCAGGGCTCCAAAATACAAAGGAGAAAACGTAAAACTGGAATTTCCAAGGTCTTTTTCTTAGGCTACTATTTTCACAGCTGAATCATTCTGCCTAGCAAAGAATATAAAAGGCCTACTCCAAAGAAATCTGAGTCTCAAGTAGCCTTGGACCCACTCAAATGTTTTTCTTTCCCTAGAAGCAATCCTATCTGAATCACTCCATCATCTACCTGGGAAAAAAAAAAAAAAAAGGGTATTCTGTGCTATAGAACTTGCCTGCCTAAAAATATTTTCTGAAAAGTCAAGTGGCTATTGACTTCCCCAGTGTAGCCTTAAACAATATGACGAGCCATGGCCTCTTATCACTGATGCCTCACTTTGGGGCACCCAGTCAAAAAATGCCCCTTGTGACCAACTGATTCCCAGTCAGTAACAAAGGCACGCACTGATGGGGGTGGGGGACACACTGTAAACATAATTTAGCAGAAAGCACTGCTCTTATGCAAGCTGATCCTCTCAACGGCGCCCCCTCCGCCTGCCCACCAACAGGACTGTCTGGGGCCCTCCGAGAGCAGTCCTCACTCCAGCTTTGCATGACTGGCCCTGTCGTTTCTAGGCCCTTTGTAGGCAGGGAAATGAATGAATCATTCCTCCCAGCCCTGGCTCCGCATCTTGTGCTCTGCAGCTCCCAGGAAGGGGCCTTCCTGCCTCACACGGGGAGCGTCACATAACAAGGGTACCGCTCCCCAGCCAGGAGCAGAGAGCGGCCCACGATGCAAAGGGCACTTGCTTAGTGTTGGCTGACCACTGGAGCACAGAACTCAGCAGAATTCTTTCACCCGGACAGAATGCTCCGCTCAACACCGCTGCCAGATGTCGGCATTCAGATAGGGGGTCAAGGGGTGGGCTGGAGGCTGTCTCCTTCTTCAGACCCTCACCGCCAGGGATTCCTGCTGGATCAGCAGGAGTGATGAATGGTCCTCATTCTCGGCCCAGGGCGCACCGCGGGGAGGCGACCCCAGCTGCGGTCCCGGAGCTGCTTCTGGCCCCACACAGAACACATTCCTTTGTGGAAGAAGGCTGCCTTTGGTGAATGGGGTGTGCTCAGAGAATGAGGGAAGCGCTGGGGGACGGTGGGGCCTTTCTGAACCACCTCAGACAAGAATGCAGACTTTGACACCAGGCTAGGCCAGGGCTGGTCCATTTGGCCCCTGGCCAAAGATTCCACCTCCATCCTATTTCTGGCCCCGGAGCAGGAATGTTCAGGGCACAGGGAAATGGTGACAAGGGGAGCATATGAAGCTGATTTTTTTTTTTTTCATCCTCCAGAAAGAGGCCTTTGTCAGGCGTAATTGGTTGTGATCAACTGGGGTTCCCCACAGTCCACCTCTGGCTCTGGGCGGAATCTCATTTTAACCAGGCTCTTTCTTGGGGAGGCTGAAGGTACAATTTCCAACTCTTAAAAAGTGTGCCTAGTAGAGACTCTCGGACTGGATCAGAAATATATATAGTGTCTGCAAGAGATGCATTTTATCTTTATAGCACAGAGCCCATAGAGAGAGGCAGAGAACATCCAAACCCAGTGCTGCCACTTGAAGGCAGCTCTGTTAAAATGGCAGCGGGAACCGTGTGAGGCCAAGAGGCCCCTCGGGTTCACATTAACCAATCCCTAGCCCCTAAAAAAAGGAAGACCACCGGAGAACATACAATAATGGAAAGAACAGGGCGTTGGCCTCTAGAGTGGTCTCAGATCCTGATCTGGCTTCTGCAAACAGAGAAGGGCCTTAAAACCATCTTAGTGAGCTGCACAGGAGGTATCGAGGGCCCAGGACAGTGACTGGCTCATGGCAATGTTCGATGAGTAGTACAATTATATACAATCAGCAAGAACCTGGAAAAAATCCCAGGAGGGGTGTCGCTTCATCCATCAACCACTCTTTTTTTTTTTTTTTAAAGATTTTATTTATTTATTTGAGAGAGAATGAGAGACAGAGAGCACGAGAGGGAAGAGGGTCAGAGGGAGAAGCAGACCCCCCAGCTGAGCAGGGAGCCCGATGCGGGACTCGATCCCGGGACTCCAGGATCATGACCTGAGCTGAAGGCAGTTGCTCAATCAACTGAGCCACCCAGGTGCCCGACCCATCAAGCACTCTTTTTTTTTTTTTTTTTAAGATTTTATTTATTTATTTGACAGAGAGAGAGATAGCGAGAGCAGGAACACAAGCAGGGGGAGTGGGAGAGCAAGAAGCAGGCTTCCTGCCAAGCAGGGAGCCCGATGTGGGACTCGATCCCAGGACCCTGGGATCATGACCTGAGCCGAAGGCAGACGCTTAACGACTGAGCCACCCAGGCACCCATCCCATCAAGCACTCTTAACACACCACTTGGATAACAGGTTTTAACCATCCTCCCACCTCCCCCCATTACACACACTCTGTTTCCCAGAGCTAAGGATCAGTAGCCAAACTGGTCTGAGTTTCTGCACCCTTTCGAAGGGGAGGAGAACCAAAGCCACAGCCAAAATGGTGTGCAGACTTGGTCAGCAATCCAATCACTGCAAACACCTTGTGTATTTAGGGCAGGAAGTGTTGTGGGGGATGGGACCCAGTGCATGCAAATTCCTGGAGGGTTGGTCCAGGCCCAGACAGGTAGGGCGGACTCGGCAGGGCCAGTAAGAGTATACTGGGCTAGAGGGAATATACAAACCAGTTTCTCGAAGAGATGGCCCCTCAAAAGTGGCCAAGCAGGCACCCCCTACTTAGCTTCCCTCATGCCTCAGGTAGGGCGAGTCCCAGCAGGACTCACTCTTGGCTTTGTCCACTTTCTGTGGTCTCCGCTAGCTTCCAGGCCAGGCTCTGAATTCAAGTGATACCACCTCAGCCTTCAAGGATCAACTGTTCAGGCCTGAGCCCATCAGGTGAGAATCAGACCCTGCGGGGCCAGCAAGGGACGGTGCAGCCAGCACACAGACCGCAGCCGCATCTTCGGCTTGTCTGGAAAGGTCTGGCTACACAGAGGAGCGGGCAGGAGCGCTGTTCTCAAGTTTGTTAAGAGCCTGTGATCCGGGATTCTGCTGTCCACAGAAGCCCTGGCTCCCTTCCAGAAGCCCAGTGAGTAATAGCCACAGGCCCCAACCGCCACATCACCAAAGCTGGCTGGGCTCAGCTCAGCTGCACAAGGCCAGCTGGGACTGTGTCA